ATAGACCGCCTGACTGCAGGCTAGCTCACAAAGCCTCACACAAATCACATACTATAGATAGTCGAAATTCCCAATTCGTGGGGAAAGGGGGGGGGGGGGGGGGCACAGCAACGGTAAGCTGCCGTCCCCTCCGAGAAACATATATATAAAAACGAAAGCACTAAAACCCATCAGAGGATGCAAACATACTGCATAGCATTTGGCCCAACTGTTCAAGTTTCTACAGCATCATGTCTCCAATGGCGAGGTTACTCGGGTTCATTTCAATCTGCTTCATGTTGCTAGTTGCATAGAGCTTGTTACATCAAGCACGAAAGCGACAGGGCCTTTGGGGGTATGTCGCCCGAAGGCCTTATCTTCCTCTAACTAGAGTCCCTTCATCCCTAATGGTTTTGTACATCGTTCCCTGATCTACACCCATCAGCTGGGTCTCCAAACGCGGCTTTAGCTATGCCGCATCTTGCCCCATATTACATGAGCTCCCCAAGCTATTAACCAGGGTTGACACCCTTGCTCAAAGGTCATAGATATAGAAAATTATAAACTACTGATAAGTGAAAATTACTGCCCTCTAGACAGAGTATCATACTAGAAGTGATCCTCACCATTAGCTGTACCACGGGCTATTTATATTTAGTATTACTTAGCAGCTATACAAATCCCCCATCGCTCAAATAATGTGGATACTATAGCGCCGTGACATGATTACGGTCACTATACCTAATTAGCTCCCTGACTAGTATAGCAGATGAAAGGGGCCGATGTCAAATATATTTTTTACCTCACTTCCCCAATCTCCGCCGACATTTGGCACCTATGAGCTCCGGGATCCACTCCTCAATAACCCGAGTTTCTCATTCATGAAAAGTCACTCGTGGTTGAAAATGCGGGAAACTCCGGTGACCGTGACCTGAACTGAACATCCAGAACAAGAAATAACCTTAGTCTAGCCATACTCTATCCGCACATCCGAGCGTTCAGTGAGCCCTCCAGAATAGCCCCCCCCCAGAAGTTTTAGAACCATTACAATAGTTCTCACGGGAGGTCCATCTCTTGAGGCTTGGACATTCATTTGTCACCCTGTGCGAGTTACGGGCCGTCGTCAGCCCCGTGAGTGGGCGCGTGGCATTAACCCATATAAAAACATCAAGATCAACCGCTCCGATCGCACCTCTGGGACCGCAAGGATATTTGACCAATAGGGCATATCCCGATTGGGGAATCCTAGATAAATTTCGTGTCTGTACTGTACAGTACCCACCATACTCATACACCGCGCTGGCGCAGAAGTGCCTGAGGGGGTACCGGATTGTACAGTACTGTATTCAAGTACAAGTACTATCCCAACCCAATCCCAATGAAAAAAAGCCAAAGCTGATTAAGCCTCCCAACTCTTTTGGGTAGATAAAGAAAGCTAAGGTATCCCATTTGTCCCTCCAAGCTTTTGCGATCGACAGGATCCTTGAAGTGCGCTTTTCCCAAAACGGATACCCCTATTTTCTCTAGAAATTTCCTGGAATCCTGAAAGACATACCGGTACTGCTTCGTTTTTTCCCCAACCGTTTTTTTCGGAATCCCGAGATTTGGGATTCGGGTCCGCTTTAAATTCGCAACAGCAGTGGGGGGAAAAGAAAATAATAATAATAATAATAATCCCGTATCAGCCTGGTGCTGGGGCTTCATGCTTGGAGCCAAAGGTCTCAGATGAATTCGCAATTGCCCCCCCCTGATTAGGAAAAAGAGAAACAAAAAATGTGTTACCCTTTGTGGATACGCCAGAGTGACCGCACAAAAACTTACACACCACCCCCATAAAAAACGGGATCCACGTGATCAGGGCAGACCCGACGCATGCACGGGACAGCATGCAGGGTCGGTGCCTGGATCCCGAATCCCGAAGAAGAGATGGAGTGCCGATATTCGAGTACCGGTATAATTGTTTGGTGTCCATATTTCATGATTTCGATTTTATTTATCCTGTCAATAGGTCAACTTGATGCCAGGAGGCGGTGGGGAAACGGTGCAGTGCGGCATTACCGTACCGGTACTTGTACTGTCATCAGAGTTAATGAGGAAGGGATAGCGGTACGGTAGTCCGTTCATTTATTTCAATGTGGACCTTTCTGCACGGGTTGTCACAGCCTGTAGGGTTCATGGTCTCAGCGCCACAAGGCCATTTGCTCGTGGGAAAGATGGGGAGAATTTGTGACGGGTGGCCCAGCCCAGACAAATGAGGGGAAGTTTGTTTCGATGCTGCAAATACCGGTATATTGCGGGAAGCCGGCAAGAAGGGCTGGCAAGGAAGGTTGTCAGGGGATGATATGTGGCCCGAGCGGGAGGACAAACGTTAGCGCAGTGGACGGTGTGCCACACGCACTGGTCCGGTCTGACCCCGAGGGCGATGCCACGATGAGCCCTTGATAGGGGGTTTCGGAAGGGGGGGGGGATCTTCTGCTGTGGTGGTTAATCACGATGGATGAGAAATGAATGTGGACTATCGGTACCGTACCAGGTACAGTACTTGTAGGATATCATCCTACAAGTACGAGCAGAATTTAATGGCCAAAATATAATAGGGGGGGGGGGGGGGCTAAACCACCGAGAAAATGTTCCTCCCACTCTACGAGTAGACTAGACAGAGCTCACGCCACCGGCAGAACCTCCCCTAATAGTCTTTTGCAATTTGCATTGTAACGCTTTACAAATTCTTACCCTTCTGGTTTAATCGCGTCCTCCACGCCGAGCCATAAATTTATGTTCGCACACACACAAGTTGGAGTCGGGCATAGACCGTGTGAGGGCTCAGCGAGGGGACACCCTCAGCGAGGCTTGGCGATATTTGGCAGCAAAGATTGCCTACGGTCAACGACAGTAGGGAGCCAAGCCGTGCCGCGCCTCGCCGAGGGTGTCGCCTCGCTGAGCCCTCACACGGTCTACTCGAGTACTCGAGTACTCTGAGCAAAAAATGGCGGGATGAACCTTGGGAAGAGATACCAGTAATGAGATTGGCTTGCTGACTGACGCCTCCCGCTTGCCGTGATAACTTATCAAGCCGCGACCTCCCTGGAAGCTCCGCGACGTCGGAGGTTGGAGAAGAGAAGGTCGGATGTTCGGGAACAGCAACATAGCTGTCGAGCCGCGGTATCCCCATTTACCAGCGTTTCCCCATTCTGGTTTGGAGTAAATGCTCCCCGATAGTGGCCATTCGTGGCAGACAAACGAGAAGGGAGACACCGAGAATGCTCTCCTTACTGTGCTCGTACTGCACGTATAGGGACACTGTGGTCGTGGTTAGCCATTGCGGGAACCGCATACCGGTACCGGTATCTGGCATTGGTCGCCCCGGGTGCGCGATCCTTCTTGGCCCACGAGAGAGTGAGTGGAGCATTGCGGGCATTGTGAGTCCGCCCACCAAGCTATTCATACTCGCACTCTGCCATCCGCCACATGGACTACGGTAAGGGGCAGCACGGCACAATACTTACAGGCACCACCATATATTTGGGCAAGCTTAAAGAGAGGTAGTGCACCTATAAACAATCAGGGGATTTGACTGAAAAATAAAGAGAGGTGGTGCATCAATTCCGGCAAACAAGGGACCGAGGGAGTGCTCGAGGTTGAAAGCAAACTTACGGCATGCCTCTGCGGCTTCCCATGATTCCAGCTCGATCCTTCTCATCCTGGAGCAATCCTTCTATATTCATCTGCGGGGGGAATGGCGGCACGAGACTCGGAGACCGTATTGTACCCGTGCAATATCAACGGGAGTTCAGTATTTGCGCATCTGTAGTGGACGTCCCCCGCCACATCTCTCCTCTTATCCTTCCTTATCTATGTTTGTGGACATGGTGCTGGTTGGGGATCCGTAGGAGCTGCACAGTGCTTGTATCTGCCGTGGTACATGCACTCGAGCACAGCACTTGTACTGTACTGTACGAGTACTGTATGAGTACTGTACTGGTATCCATATGAGGTGCATCTCATCCCGTATCGGCCAACCATGTACGAGTACAGTACGGTAGCATTTTTCACCATTGGTCGCTATAGCACTCGCTTGGGGCCACCCTTCAGTACAAGTATTTCTGGAGGCGACCGGGTGTGCCCATAAAGCATAGTCTACTCGAGTACTAGCACATAACCCCTGCCTCCACATTGGATTCTGTGGCATTTAGTCTACTGACATACCCGAACACACACTGGTATCACTCGCTCCTTCCGAGTCCTTCACTAGCAGAAAGCCCGAGCTCTTAGTGGTAATGATCGCAAGACCTCAGCCAGCAGCTTCCTGATATCGTACCTTTTTTTACTCGTCCTCCATGTATGTACTCGAGTACATGTCCCAACCTTCGTGTCATATGGCAGGGGAAAAAGGTAAGGGGCCTGGGTGGAGGGTTGGGCACAATCCATTGGATCCATAATAATAAATATCCATTGTTAAACTCCTGGGGCTAATTCCGTGGTTGACAATTATCTCGTGCCACCCTTTTTTGGATATTTTATTACTTCTCTTCCGTTTGGTTACTGCTGATTTGTGCGACTCTCTCACCCTCTCTTTCTCTCTTTCTCTCTTCTCTCTCTCTCTCTCTCTCTCCCTCTCTCTTACTGGACTGACGCTTTAACTCTTACGAGAAGAGAGGTAAGAAAGAGTGGGTCTGGTTGCCGTACTTTTGCCATCCCTCCCTCTCTTTGTTCCAGCCTTGCCGCTCCGACACTTGCGGTTACTGTATCCAATAGCGTAGCAATTTTTATTTTATTTTTATTTTTGTGTCCATATCGTGTCCTTTTGAAGGGAAGGGAGGCAAAAAAAAAAAAAGAGGGTTAAAAGAGAGAGAGAAGAAAAAAAAGGGTCAGCCCGTCGGCTTCGTTGCTTCCACCTCCTTTTTCCGAGCCACAATTTGACTGACGGTCACACCCAAACTTCCTTCCGCCCCCTCCACCCACCACCACCCCCCCCCCCCCCTTTCAACATCCCTCTCGTCCCCTATTCATCTCATTCCACCACCACTCACCACCTCTCAAATCCGAGAAGCTTCTCCCCCTTCGACCGTCCTCTTCTTCTCTTTCCCACTGGCCGTTTGATATCTTCTGCTCTGCCAGTTGTCACGAGAGTCGAAAACCCCTCATCATACATCTTCCCCGCCCCTTTTTTCGGTAACGAGACCCACGCCTATTAACGATCTGCCACGAGCCACGCATCTGAAAACGACTTTGTGACATTATCTTGAAGAGTCACAAGATTGTTTCCTCGCAAGGAGAAAGAAAGTGAGAGAAAAAAACAGAAGGATCGAGAGACATCTCTACATCGTTTGGCCCGTCATCATTGTCCTGTTTTATATCTGCATTTTCAAACATATTTTTATATTGTTCGAATTTTTTTGGTTTGCGAATTTTCTCTTGTACTCGGAACGATAAAAAAAGACTTGTAACGGCTGTTCAACGACTACGATACCCAACAAGATTTTACACTCTTAATACTCTCATTCGTCGGATAGGGGGGTTCATCCTACTCGCTGAGGAATAGCATACTCGGAACAGCAGCATTCATCTATAGTGGCCTCCTAGCATCTTGGAAATACAACTTGTGATTATTGGATTCTGCCTTACAGCTACAGACAGGTATTCCGGTCTACATTAAGTCGGTCCCCTACCCATTCTCCATTTCATCAGACCTATCGAATACTCTGTGTTTTTCAGAATATCATGTCTGGCCACCACGAATATTACGACACTATAGGTTCCTCGCGTTCGCCTAGTGGCCAACATCAGTCTCAGCAACAACACCAGACCTTACACCGAGTCTCATCCCGGCACTTTGAAACGTTTGCATCTCAGAGTGGTCTTTACACTGCGGAGGACCATGCTGCGAGGTTCGATACCAATCGTTATGGTAGTGCTCGTTTGGATGCCGGCATGTCTGGAGAATACGGTTATGGAGCATCGGGGGCACAAACATGGAACCCGGGTAGCTTTGGAGGTCCCGGCACTTTGGCTGCAATGGGGGGCGCTTCGGGAAGGATTAAGACCCCTTCCAGGCAAAGGAGTGCCTTGCCGGCGGTAAGCTTAAGTTTTGGTCGTGTGCCGGTTTGAGCTAACTGTGGGTTGCTAACATTTGCTGCCTTCGCAGATGTGGACTACGGAGCCAGCTCCCTCGCTACCTACGGTTTCACCACTTGCCGCTATGGGAAATGTTCCCTTGGGGCCTTCCCCCATGCGTACTGAGACTGTTGGTTCAGATCCTGAGGAGGAATTGATACCTACTGCTATAGTAATCAAAAACATCCCTTTCGCCATCAAGAAGGAGCAGTTGGTCCAGTTAATGACGGATCTCGGCCTACCACTACCGTATGCGTTCAATTATCATTTCGACAATGGTGTTTTCAGGGGACTCGCTTTTGCCAATTTCACCACTGCTGAGGAGACTGCAGCAGTTATTGATACATTGAACCACTTTGATCTCCAGGGTCGGAAATTGCGGGTGGAATATAAGAAAATGTTACCCTTGGCTGAGAGGGAGCGCATTGAGAGGGAGAAGAGAGAAAGGAGAGGTCAATTGGAAGAGCAACATCGCCCTGTGCAAATGCCTCTTTCTCAGCCCAACATCCCTCTTTCGACTTCACCATCTCCAAGCGTTGCTCGGTCAAAGCCAGGTTAGTGCTTCCTTCCCCCTACCCAAACTCAGCAGTATTTTTCAAGACTTTCTGTGTTTGGAATTGCATACATACTTGCGTTGTGTCGGTCCGGCCTTTGCATTGACTAATGGCTACGCTCAGACGTCGATTTGAACGACCCCCAGACTCTACAGTTTTACTCACAACTCTTACTCTTCCGTGATGACGTGTCTCGCGAGGCTCTTATATTCCCTGCTACACTTTCACCCCAACAGCGTCGAATTGTTCATACCCTTGCGCACCATATGGCCTTGGCACATGTGTCTCGAGGGAATGGGGATCAGCGTCAGGTTCACGTGTTTAGGGCTCCTATTTCCACAACCCCTAGCATTAGCCCCCCTTCCATTCCGACAACCGTGCACCCAGTTGAGTCCCAACGGCGAGTTCTAACAAGAGCTACAACAATGGACTTCAGCGATGCCCGTTCAGAGGGAGCAGGTATTTACTCGACCATGGGAAGACAGGCGCATGCTCTGCTTGACATTCCGAACTCACCATCTGGCCGAGCCGATGCCCTGCACAGTCGCCAGAACTTGCGCGCCGCAAAATCGTTTGCTGACTTGAGGTCATATACGCCATCCCCTGTACCGTCATCTGCCAGCTTCCCTGCAGCCCTTGGGGGGAATGTTTCCCGATACACTGATAATTATGGGAGCGTCGCATCGACTACTCCTAGTCTGACACCAACCGCAACTGGTACTACCGTGTCTGCTTCAAATGCTAGTGAGTCGTTACTCGTAAATGGACTTGCTGGAGTGTCGCTTACGTCCTCCCTGGGTGGTAATCTTGGTATCGGTGGTGCGAGCCTTCGAGATCCCCGGGATCCTAGGGGTGTCCTTGCCGAGAGAGAACGTCAGCAGCGAGAACGAGAGAGGGAGAATGGTGAACGGGAGAATATGAGCATTTCTACTACGGGCGGAGGAGGTAATGGTTTACATCACAGCGGATCGAGGAACTTTAGCATGGGCAGCAGCAGTGCAGGCGCATACGACCAGGAACCGTTGTCGGCTTCCACCACTAGAAGTGATGGCAGGGGTCAAGTTGTGCCTACTAGACAACCACGGGGGCCGGATTCTGAGAGGGCGCCTGGTTTTGCGTCAAGGAGGGGTCAGCATCAACGTGCGTCTGGTGGGGAACTTGATGTTCAATCTGGTGTTGAGATTGTTGTTGAATAGAATTTTTTTTTCACCTTTCTGATTTTTCACCTTTTTCATTGTTTTCTTTTGATCCTCCAATAACTCCTTTGAAATTACCGGAATTATTATTATTATTTATTCAATTCCCTCATTAAAATTCTGCCCCCTCTCCCCTTCTTTTTTTGCCCAAAGTACAATTCCATAATGTTGGTTGTAGGTCGTTGATTTCTATTACATGAGGTGTTTTGTCTTTTAGTTGCGGACTAGGGACGCGGAGGAATGGAGGTTTGAGATGAGCAAAAAAAATGCAAAAGTTACAAAAATTCCCCATCGGCGCGTTTTTAAAAGCAAGGTTTCCATAATTTGATAGGGGAAATGGGCGGGATCAGATGGTTTCATAATGTGGTCAAGAATAGTTAAGTGTGAGCTAGTTTTTTTCTTCCCCTTTTTCTTTTCTTTCCTTTACTATAGCCCTGCTATTATCACTGTAGTTCCAGTTCGGGATAGTAAAAGCGTCACAAATACTCACTCGGGTTGTTCTGCGGTTTTTTCCTCTCTTCTTTTTTCTATCCCTTCCAAATCAAACTTGTGTTAGCTGAAAGGGTTAGGAAGCGGGAGTACAGAGCGAGGAATTTTGGTGCCTAATTTGAGGATGTGAGTGAATTGCCGACGCAAAGGCAGAGAGGCAGAGGGAGAGACATTGCTGCTTACTGTCAGCCTGTGTGGGTGCTCGTATTGCGTCGGGGTGCTGGAGTTAGGGTTGTTGCGAACCGATCATTTTGATAGCGGTTGGGAAAAAAAATAGAAAACGGAAAAAAAAAAGAAAGCACGCGTGTGACGCTTGGGGAAGTTGTTCCGGGATGTTGAGAGATCGACGGGGGGAAGCGATTGTATAAATAGTTGAACCCTCGCTGCTCACGAGGGAGGGGGTTAAGGAGAGGAAGAATTGATTGATTGAATCAGCATGGTCGGTGGTGATGGTTGGGTGTGCACTGCCAGCACTCCTTCAAATCCGGATATTAGCGGTATCGGAGTAGGTTCCACTTTCACCCTCTTTCCCATGTTACCTGTAGCTACAACGAAAACTAACCGTTGATTGAGGGGCAATAGGTAATATCGGCATTCCTAATACAAGCAATCCTCTCCAACCTGCTGGGCTGGTACATGTACCTCTTCTACCCCTCCCCGTCCTCCACCTCATCCTCCCCGCACGCACTAAAATTCATTCACAACCTCCGAACCCACCTCCCAATGTGCGTGCTGAAAGACCTCATCCTCCTAGCCTCCGACGCCCAAAGCCTGACCGGAATCGCCTTGCTGATAGCCAGCTTCACGCAATCTATGCCAGCCTACCACTCCGTGATAGTTCTGAATATATCCTGGACCCCCTCGCTCTCGCACCACCTCACCATACTATACGTATTCCCCGCCTTCTCCTCCACAGCCTATCCCGGAAGCCGGAATGTCAAGCGGAAGCGCGAGCGCGCGATGCGCACCATAAGACTGAGCGTAATGGTCGTCTACATCCTCCTGCACATATCCTTTTGCGCAAGGACATACGCCCACGTACGCACGCGGTGGAGCGAGGAATGCTTCGCCACCTGCCGCACTTGCTCCGGCACGTGGGGGGAAATGGCCCAAGTGCTCCTCTGGATTGTGACTGGCGCCGTCATGTTTCTGCTCGGCTACGTCCCCTTCGTCATCTCGTTGCTCCGCCAGGGCCGGGAGGCCCCGCCAGCACCAGCGCCTCCCAGGTCGGGAGGGTGTGCCGTTGCCATAGCTGCGGTGGGGAGGGTGTATGAGGTTTTGATCGGCGTGCCCGCATCGCTGGTCGTGATGTCGTTTTGGACCGCCTTCTCGGCCCTTGGGGTTAGTAGGTATAGGGCTGGTGGTGGGATTGGAGAGGAGGAACGCTGGGGGTTTGGGCAGGTTTTAGCGGTGGTGGGGTTGGGGGTTGTGGTGTTTGAGGGGATCAAGGGGTTTTGTGGTATGATGTTTTTTATTTTATTTCTCCTTCCTTTCTGCGATGGGGTAGTTGGTTTCTGGGCTGATTGCGCTGCCTAGGCTATGGCGGGGATGATGAAGACGAACAGGGTGGGGGAGATGGGAGAATCCAGGGCGGTAATGGGGTGTGTGAGTGTGGGAGGAGGGTTGCATTTGATGCGCAGGGTGGTGGGGTGGTGACACTGGAGGCGATCGAGGTTGGGGTCGACTAGGGGAAGTGACGATGATGAGAAAGCGAATGTATCATGATTTAGCTTTCTGGCACCGCATCAACCCAGAAAATCCGGCTCCATCAGGTGTCCGCAAGTTAGTGCCTAATTAAACTAGCAAGAATTATCCATATCGATTCCACAAAATGATATTCCATCGGGTCCGGTTCGTTATTATATGGTAAAAAAAAATAAGGTAGAATGGGAGCTCTGGCGGGTTTAAGGAGCCTGGAGTGCCTGCATATGGTACCATGCTCTATTGTTGCGGAGTCTCGTCCTGTTTTTTTCTTTTTCTAAATGCTAGGTATCGTGATAATATGATAACTTCACCCCGCAGCATAGAGGCAAAAACCCGAAAACCCAAATCTCTTGTTGGCCGAGTGATATTGTGTGCGTTCAATGTGTGCTTAGTTATGCTACTCCTAGGGTTGGTCAATCGTGGATTTGACAAGTATTCCCGGCCCACCCTCCTTGCTTCCAACCACCGTCTGGTTAGCAGAGACACTACGGTACTCGGATATGTGGGTCCGGCTAGGATTGTTTTTTGTTTTTTTTGCTGGATTGGTCGATACTTTCTCTGGGATTACTACAAGTAGATTATGGGCAGAGCAGAGGGGCTTTTTTTTTTTTTTGGGCGCCGTACAAGCTCATCCTTTGACTTGGGTAACCTCCTCCGCAACCACTCACTCGCTCGCCCCTCCCCGAGTGTTGCGAAGCGCTAATCATCAAGGATAGTATATTCATAATTCCTATAATACAAAATCAGTAATTCCCGAGTTACTCCCCAATCCAGTTCGCAAAATTACCAAGCCATGGAGTCCCTGGGCCTAAAACACCTAGTATGACACCAACCAAATCCGGCCGAGGAGAACTTCATCCCCACGCAAACTAGCAAGGCATATTTCTAAATTCTCTAGCAAGTGGAAAAAGTAGAAAAAAAGACGTTAGAATAGAGAGAGCAAGGAAGCAAGAAACTATAACTAATACTGTTTATTTTGTTTCTCAGGAAGACCCCTCAGCTGCTACAATGTTCATCCCCATCCCCCATCACCGCCTAGTCCTCAAGCCTCACAATCTTTCGTGAGCAAAAGCAACTCGAGTGACATCCCATGATTAAAGTACAGATGATATTACAACGACCCGACACGGCACCGGACACCCTAGGGCAAAGGGAAAAAAAAAGGGTTATCGTGATGAAGTTGGCAAGGAAAGTAGGAGGGAGGAGGGAAGCCTATGAGTAGGAGGATATTATTCAAAGGAAGCCACATAAGACGCAAACCTCTAAAGGACCCCAGATGACGCGAACGAAAAGGAATTTTTCCAGCCAAAAAGACTGGCCCGGAAAAAGAAAAAAAGAGGTATTAAGAGAAAAAAAAAAAAAGCGGAAAGCAGCACAGTTACGCCTAGGCCTCAAGTTCACCAGAAAATCCTAAGAAAGAAGGAGAAGGGAGATTCGTAATCGTCGTAAAATACTTTTATCTATGAATGAAGAGACTCCGAGAGATCCATTTGGATAGCGATCTCCCAGAATGCAGAGTCGAGGGGATCACAGAGCGGTGACACAGGTGTTGGCGGGGGCTGGGGGATCGGGAACTGTTTGTTGTATTTCCACTGGCTCATAGGTAAAGGTGGAGTACGATTCCCCGCGGACTCTTCTTCGATCTTTGCTTTGCAACTTTCGAGATCGAGTCCGGTGGTCTCGTTGGCTCTGTCCCACTCTTTGCGCATTGCATCGGGGAGCTTGTGATACATACTCTTGATATCTTTCGGCCCGGGGAGCAGGATCATATCTTTCCTCCAGTTTAGGCCTTCGGGTTTCTCCAACTCGATGATGGCATAATGGTTCTCACAAAAATGCTCGATGAGTTGCAAAAAGCTTTTAGAGCCGGGATGGCTATCGTTGAGCAAGAGCGTCTTGTTTTCCACACAAATTTTGCAGAATATCTTTTCATTGCTCAAAAACCCGACATCGTGATCCGCCGGAGTTCTGAGGATCCTGAGAATCTCGTAGTAAACAGAGTTGAGATCATGTGACCCGGGGAAGGTTTCCTCTTTGGAAAAGCTCGCGAGGAACGTCGCCAACTTAAACATTGGAGGCACCTCCAATCCATTAACACGCCTCAGACAACGTTCGATTCTGGGACGCAAAATTGTCGTCTCTCCGGTAACGCCCGATTTCCGTCCCGGGCTCTGCTTGACAACCGGGTACGACTTGGCCAAACACCAATGCTCATCGCAAGACAGGCGAGGCGTAAATTTGGAACCAGCGGGTAAAAATGGCAGAACTTCTGGCCATGTGGCTCCATCCCAATCGAGGGGATCTGCGTATTTAGAAGTACCCCTGGCCCGGTGCCAAGATGTTACAGACTCTTCACGATTTCCGTGTTCTTCAGCTATGTGGCTTAGCATTGCTTTAAAGCCGGTCCGTCGTTCGCAAAACTGGCATTGGAATTCCATATCCAGGGGGATGGCCAGCTCCGCGAACAGCGTCTCCCAGAGATAAAATATTCCCCTCATCGAGAGTGGTAGGAGCGGGTTGAGTCGATGCCAGCTTCTCCAGACATAACCTAGAGTTTCCATCAGAAATGAGGCCGATTGGGTGGGATCCGTTAGAAGGACACCAGCTTCCGTCAGCACGCATTCCTTGGCGTTGTGGATCAGATCATCTATCGCATGATTAATGATCTGAAGGGTCTTGTTATCCTGACACTCTTTCTGTCGCTCCTTGCGCTTTCGGTCAACAGCATCTTGAAGAAGCTTGCGTTCTTCTGCCTGTTTGGAGTTGTACTCGGCTTCAGCACCTTTCCGCTCTGCTTCAAGTTTCTTTGCTAGAGTCTTCCAGGATCGCTCCGTAAAGGCAGACCCGGATTTGAGCGCCGACAGATATGACGGCATAAGCGCCAAGACTTCTCCAGAGATCGGAGGGTCAAAGTCCGTCTTGCATTTTTCCGGAATAGAAAGGTTGCGCTGCTTACGAATCGCGGCAATTTCCTCTCGGCGAGCTACAGTTTCTAGTGGGGAAGAGAATTTGAGTCCGGGAGTTGGTAATATTAAATGGTGAAAGGGAAAAGGGGAAATTACCTTTCCTCTCGAACTTTTGAAGCTCACTGGCAGTCTTCATCAATTCAACCGTTTTGTTCCTCTCAAACTCCAAGAAAACCTTCAATACTTCAGGGTCGTTTTCCTTCTTGCGTTTAAAGTACTCGACCTTGAAGGTTTCAACTTCGTCCCGCCAATAGGCTGGTTCGCCGCCGTAATATATGTCACGCTCGGTAGTGACAGACCTCCCTAATCCCGGGAGAGATTAGCATACGTTGGGTAGAGAAAATGGGAGCAGGTCCCAAAATGAGGGAAGACACCAAATTGTAAACGGCCTATGGGTATATATTGAGACTAGAGGCAAGAAAGCTTACCGGATATGTAGCAATGCCTCAAACATTTTTTGGCGTTTTGGCAGAAATCACCGGGTCCGTAAATTTCATCAGCCTAATTTCTATAGTTAGCAAATAACTCTCTTTACCCAGTCTCAGGCGGGGGAAAGGGTCAATTATGAAAGTGGTATGCACGAACTGAGTGTGTTTTGAGGCTGTAGTTTCTGGGGGTGGGGGATATTTGACAGGTAATAGGGATTGATAAAGACGAAAAAAGAAAGACGAAACGAAAGAAGGGGTCTGTCTTGCCTTCATTCTTCCGTCTTTGAAGCACTCAAAGCACATTCTAACCCCCCAAGTCCAGTAGACCTTCTTAACACGAGCAGCACCGCAAATCATGCATCCCATGCCCCTCCACAAATTCCACATGTAATTCTCCGGATAACCATAAATGGGTTCAGGGAAATGGGGAAAATTACTCTTCCTGCTAGTGGCCCAAACCCTCTCATCGTCAATGAAGGACTTGAAAGTAGAGTTGACACGACGGAGCTTGGCAAGCGTTTGGGGTGTGCAAAAGGAGAATATGTTTAACCAGATTTCGTAGGGTATGTGCGACTTGATCGGTTTGGCCCGGCGCAGGGTAAGAGGGCCGCTCGATTTTCTCGGCCTGGCATACTGAATAGGTCTCCGGTCGCTAGGGATAATCTGAAAACCGCTCAACCCGCTGTCCACCTTGCGGCGTTTGAAGGCTTGCTCCGGCTCCGGTGATAGTGAGGGTGGCATCCCGGGAGAGGGAGGTGTGGAATCCATGCTTGATTGACTGTCGGAAAAGTCAAACACCAAGTCATGCCATGTCCAAAAGTCCTCCATTGTTGCAAAAAAAGGAAAGCAGAGGAATGGAAAGGCTAGAACAAGAATCTTACGGAAAGGGGCGGAAAATGGACCAGAGTTTGTCCTCGAAAGCCTCACAGCCGGCCAAGCTGTGGGGCTCCAGAGGATACAAGAAGGGTGAGGGGACCAGTGCTAACGAACGCCTCAGGCAATGGGAAAGACTGAAAAGGGCTGAAAGTTAGGGGTGGGGAAGTTGTGGACAAGCGGAGGAGGAAAGGAGTGAGCGGGAGGGGAGGAGAAGGAAGAAGAGAGGGGGCGAGAGGGGCGAGAGGGGCAGGGAATGAAACTGAGGAAGGTGGGTGCAAGAGCGGGGGGTTATTAGGAATAGGATTGAATTTTGGTGATGTAAATGGGATAGTACGAGGTGGGCAAGAATAGTTAGGATGGTGAACGAACAACTCAAGCTAAGCTGACGACGACAAATAGAAGGGAAAAAAAAGACTCGTTAGAAAACGGAAACTTTATGCGCAGGAGTGGGCAGCAAGAGCACACAAATTACTAAGGGGAGAGAGGGGGGGTAGAGGAATAGAAACGGTAAGTATGAGAGGTTGAGGTGGAGGTATTTCAGGCAAGCAAGTAGGTGAGATATCTAAGCATCATAAGTGAGAAAGAGGGAAAGAGAGAAGGGCGGGGTCTGGCGTATTTTACTTCCTCTTCCTTCCGCTCGCTTTACGAACCACTCTCCTAGCTAGAGTACCGGTGGACTGCCAGGGAGACAGGCGGCTAGATAGATGGATAGACCGAGAGGAAGGGAGGGGGAGGGGGAGAGACGGTGAGCGAGGGAGAGGGAGGGAGAGGGAGAGGAAGAGAGGAAGAGAGGGAGAGAGGGAGAGAGGGACAAGCTAGACAACACAGGGGAGGTCAAGCCAAGTTAGGTTGGCTCTGAGGGAAAGGAAAGGGTAAAAAAAAAAAAAAAAAAAACGAGAAAGAGAAGAGAGAAAAAAGAAAAGAAAAAACAATAATAATAATATATGAAGCACTTGGATTAGGCTTTGTTTATCGCTTATCGCTTGGTGGGGCCGAGACTCTTAACTTATTCCTCGGTTGATCTCGTCCGGCATTTGTGTGTATGCGTATATTCTCCTTCTCCCTTCCTTCCTCATTACCATCCCTCCACCGCAACTGTTCGTCTCCTTCCTCCCCCTTGATGCTATTGTTGTTCCTCGTGGGAACGAGGAAATCTATCCTATGAGTTATAGTTATACGTTGGGCAATTACATGGGGACTGCAGCATCCGGATCACGGTTAGGTAGCAAGTGCGGCAGGAGGGCTGAGGGCAGAGTTGAAGGGAGGGAAGGGGGAGGTGGGGGAGGGGAGGGGAGGTGGGAAGCCATTACCATGTAGAGAGAGACATTGTGATTGAGGGGGCGGCAGAGCATCAATCGAGGTGCTGTACAGTGCTAGTGCTGTACGGTACTATGTTATGCAGAAGGAGGCGAGGAAGGAGGAGCAGAGGCGAGATCTAGAGTTGGACGTTGGGGAGGCCGGGAGGAACAGGAAGGGTAATGGAGGGATGGAGGGAGAAGGAGGGTGACAGAGCTAGCATCTCGACCCCATTCAATTAAGCGTTATTATGATACAGCAAATCCAGATATCATAGCCAAATCGTACGTAGAAAAAAAAGTTGCGGGCTTCACCCCCCCCCCCTCCTCGCTACAATGTCATACATGCCCTACTTACCTCACCTTACTAAAGGTACAGTACTCGCATGATATCCAACCCCCCCATCCTTTCCCCTTTCCCCTTCCCCTCGTGCTCGAACAATAAATGAGAATCCAATTATGCTGAACTGGTACATTACTGTACCCTACTCGTACACCCCACCAACAACCCCTCCAAAAGCAATGAAGGGATTCAAATTCATTCAGATCTCCCTCCTCCCCCCCTCTCATGTTTCCAAAAGAAAAAAAAGAAAAAATAACCCCCATCGTCTAAATCTACCACCGCCAAAAACGTGGAAGCGTGCAGTTGGACTAACCAAAATAATCTGTTCCCTCCATCCCCACAATCAACAGGGTTCACCATGCAGAAGATCAATTTCATGAGAATTCTATCCCCCTCCCTATCCCTCCTCCTCCTCCTCTCCCAAGTAACTTCACTCAACTCATAGCGTGGTAGGGGTAAGGGTATGGCGATATTATACGGTACGAGGTAACCACCTCAATCACTAGCTGTCTCGTTTGTTGGCAAGGAAAAGAAAAGTGGAAAAGCCCTTTTTTTTTCTTTCCTCACAGGGAACGAAATAGCCTCTCCCCCCCCCCACCACCACCGCCACTTAATTGCTCGGATTCGAAACCACACTGGGCCGGT